GGAGGGGGAAGGAGGGATCCTGGAGCTGGAGAAGGTAAAGGGCCACCAGGAGCTCCTGGGGGCAAGGGAGGTCCTCCGGGGCTGGCAGCACAGATTGCCCTCTGGGAGAGGAAGAAAAAAGGGGACTGGTCATACGGAGCTGGGGGACACCACCCAAGAAATACCCCCAGGCTGATTTTTAATTTTTTTTGCCAAAATTTAACCAGCACAGGAAGCACTCAAAGGCTTCAGCACTCCTGACTGAGGTCCAATACAGCTGGAGAGGTGAAATCACCCCATCACCAGGGATGGACATCTTGGTGGCCCTCCCAACAAGCTCCTTTCTCAGCCCTCTGTGCAGCTCAGCCTCCAGAAATCACCCCACAGTGTTTGCAGGGAGGGGTGGGACTGGGCCACAACGGGGAGGAGGTTTGGGGCCTCACCCTGCTCATCTCGTGGAGCTGCGCCGTGAGATCTGCCACCTGCTGCTTGACCTGCTTGTGCTCACTGGACTCCTTCTCCAGCTTCTCCTTCATCTTGTTCAGCGTCTGCATCATTTCTTCCTTCTCTTGGGCCTTGGCGTCACACTCCCGCTCCTTCTTCTCCAGCTTCTGCTGAAGCTCGCTGTGCTCTGAAACAGCCCCATGAGACCACTTTTGGGTGACAAACACTCCCTTTTGGCGAATGGCAGCATGCAGGGGACTAACCCCCACGCTGCCCTGCAGAGAAGCGGCGCAGTTAAGAAAAGGGAGGGTGTGCTGTGCCTTAATACCCCAGCCAGGGCCTCCCCATGAAAAAATGAAGATCTGCTTTGCCCATTTCCCTTGTAAACCTCATACCGTAATATTACCTCAGCCACTCCATAAAGCCTGTGGAATCCATCCGGCTAAATACATGTATACATTATCCATTTAGCTTACCGTGCGCACTAAAGTTAAAAACGCCGTGTGTTTCTCTGTCACTCACCTTTTCGCATTTTTTCTGCTTGCTCTTTCCACTGTTTCACTTCATTTTCATTGACTAGCCTAAAAGGAAAAGACATGTACCACGTGAGATAATCCTACTGCAGTAAACGAGTGACCATCACCAGCAAGAAACACGACTGAGCAAGCCTGGGCAGCGGGATTCAAGGCTCCCAAACTGGTATTTCTAACACTCTCCCCCCGGCAGGGTTTTGCAGGCTGGGATGCAGCGCTGTCTGAACAGCTCCAGGGATGCTGGCTTGTCCAACCGAGGAGCAGAAACATCACCGGGTGACAGTACGTGATGAACGAGGAAGAGTGACAGCAGCGGTCGGGGGAAACAGCTCGCTGAGGACACAGAGTCTGAGCTTAATTGACCTGCACGTTGTGCTTAAGAGGTGAAAATGATGCCATCGTGGCAGGGATAACCCCCGGCCCTGGCCCTCTCGCCCGCCGGAGCGGGAGGCAGCAAAGCCACGGCGGCCCATGTGGGTGCTGCTCAGCAGCCAACCCCGGTAAAGGCGGGCGGGCACTTACATTCGGACAACGTTTTTAATATTGAAGTTTTCCAGGGGAGTGGCGTCGGGGTCCTGCCCTTTGTCACTCTGGATGACGATCTGCTGCACGATCCGGTCGAGCAGCAGCCAGTACTGGACAGTGTTGCCGCTTCTTTTATCTGGAGGAGAAGGAGAGGAGAGAGTGAGGGGAGCAGCAGGGAGGTCACTGCCACCCCCAGGAAGGAGACATGGGCTGCCAAGCCCCCGGCAGCCGCAGGTTTCCTCCCCCGTCCCGGGACTCACAAGGCATTTGCAGACAGTGGTGCAAGATAGACATAAAGTGCGGGTATGCCTCGGTGTGCGTCAGCCTCTTCCTCGTCAGCTCAAACATCTGAGTCGCACTTTTGGTGTCGATGTGGACCTGCGGAGAGAAGTGAGGTCAGGCCATCGGACCAGCGGTGGCACCACGTGTTTCCCGAGTTTCAGCTCCAAACCCCAGGAGCCATCCTCACCCCACACCTGATGGACAGACAAGCCCCACTGCCCTGCAAGGGGCAAACAGCGCTGGTCGGCAGCCAGAGCAGCAGAGGCACGAAGCAGGCTGTAGGATGGAGGTTGCAACCATCGAGATGGCTTTCCAACCTCCAAATTTTATCCAAAAGACCGCACTTTGTTGCAGGCCACACAGGCGCTTTTAAAAGGAACTGTGGCATCGAGTGCCACTGTCTGCATCAGCAATGTTTGTACTCACCAGCTCAAATCTTTTGGCAAATTCTAGTTCATCTTCATTTCTAAGCATTTCGAAAAAATCTAAGTGCCTGAGGAAAGAAAGAGGAAAAAAAAAAAAAAAAGACTGTTAAAAGCAGATATGAATGTGACAATTAATAAACTGCAGGCAGCCAGCCTGGCAGCAGCCCAGAGACAAGCGAGGCTTGAAACATCAACTGGATCTTCAGTCTCGAGCTCCCAGTTATTACAGCCTGTCCAAGGAGTCTTTTGGGACAAGCAGAGGAGGAGGAGGGCTGGCAGCATCCCCCAGGCCCCCGCTGGCACATCCTTCCTGGCTCAACCCTATGTTAGAGCGTGGTGAAATGGCTTTTCCCCTCCCTCTCTGGCAACAGCGAAGAATTTCCTCAAGAGGGGCCAGATCAACAGTCTAGATCCTCAAAGGCCAGCTCCAAAAAACAGAAAGCAAGGGCCCAGGGCAAGGGCAAAAATAACCATCAGGCTGGGGGTCACTACTCACCGGTCGAGGGTTGAATTTTCATGCTCTCGTAGTTTATCAATGACTGGCTGGATTCCGAGCATGAGAAATTCGTATCTCAGGTGGAGTCTGAAATCCAGGCTTTCCTGCAGGGGACAGTTGTGGGGTCAACACAGCAAGGTGCACATCCTCAGAAACCTTACTGAAACAAAACAACCCCAAACCCACCAAAACACCTCCCTCTCCAAGAGCCCCGGTGCTCACCACGCCTGCCCCCTGGCTCAGGACTGCGTTGATGAAGGACATGATGGCTGTCTTGAGGCTCACTTCGTCCCGATACCGCCCCGTGCTCTTGTCCAAGTCATTTATCAGCGTCTGTCAAACATGCAACGTCAGTTAAATGCCCAGCGACAGCCCCAGAGCTGCACAAACGGCCGGGGATGCGTGCAGGAACCACGCATGGTGCTCCTACAGCCCCTGTAGCTGGGGGATGGATCAGCTGCTGCCTGCTGTAATGCAGCCCACCCCAGCACCCGTTTGGGCTAACATCAGCCCATCCAGATGTGCTACAGCCTTGCAGAGCTGCAATCCCAGAGACGCTGCACAAGCAAGCTTTTTTTTTCTTTTTGAGGGGGTGCTGCCTTAAATAACTGGTTCTTCGCTCTTTGCTCAACTGCAGACCTCATCAGAGGTGGTTCTGGGGTAATCCCCAGAGTGTCTAAGTTGCAAACAGCCATAAAAAATCATTTGCAACTGGCATTTAGATATCCAGGAGGAAGAAGGGACAAGAACGCTGAATTTTGGGAGCAAGTCAAGACTTACCTGAAAACGAGTCCGTTCGCTGGCGTATTTCTGGTAGTGCAGCATCGCCTCCAGTACCTTTTTGTGGCCCCCAGGAACCAGGCACACAGCGCCCATGATTTCCAGCACTGCCACCTTCGTCTTAATATTCTCCGTGCTCAGACTCTGAGCGATTACGTTAATACTCTCCGAATGGGCCAGGACGTGAGACCGGCCCAAGGAGTTGTTCATTAGTGCTTTTATACAGCCAATGAGCGAGGTATGTATTCGAGACTCTGCCGTCTCATAGTCCATGCTTTTGAGAAAGTTCAGAATACACGACAAGCCATCCAGGTCGATGAACCGGGTTACAAACCTGTCAGAAAGAGGGTTTTTACCTTTAAAACCAAATGCTAAAGGACCCTTTTACCCTCAAACAGGGCTGGCGTGTCTGTTGTTGTAAACCCAGGAACGTCTTCTATATTTTTTCCTGGACTCTGGATAGCAGAAAGCCTGCAGGCCTCCTACGGCCCAGAGACAGGGAAGGGGTTGCAAAAATCAATTTAATCAGTGCTTGGTAGCGTAGGCAACCAGGCATTATCTGCACAAGGTTGTCCAGATCTAGGTAAGATATTTAGAAGACGACCAGCTAACCCAGCAGAAACCCCAGGGTGAAGGTTAGGAGTTTGCAGCCACACTGCTGCAAAACCTTCCCAGTCCCCAACCTGAGTCTTAAATCTCACTCACTTGGGACCAGTTTTGCCCAGGACTGGAAGAAGCTCCCAAGTCCTGGAGTCACCTCCTCGTCAGCCACAGACACCCCAACACCAGCCGAGCCCATGATGCCTGTCAGACTTTCTGCCTCCTGCTACTTCTCCTGCCTCACCATCCACACCCTTGTCCTCCCTTAGGCACATCTCACCATTTTTAAGGGATTTCTGATTTTTATGATGACTTATAATGCCACTAAATAGAAAACAGATAGCAAATGCACAGCAGCGCCCCAGGCAGATTCACCAGAGCAGGCAGACGTAACACTGCACGCTGCCCAGGCGTTTTAGGACCTCCCTGCCTGATGCCATCCAGGCTGGGTGTATTCTGGTTTGGCAAAAGGCATGGGCTCGGAAAGCAAATGAGCCAAGGAACATCCCAGCATCGGGATGATTTTAATTCGAAACAAGCCATGCTGATGCGCAGCAACAAAAGGGGTAATTGCAGGCTCAGGGAAAACTGATTTCTCTGCTTCAAAGCCTGCTCTTCTTACAGTCAAAGTCAACAGGAAATTTGACGTTCACTTCCCTGGGAGCAAAAGCAGGTCCAACAGGTAACATTTTTTATAGAGCCTGCTGGATCCTTCCGACTTCCAGCGAGACAAACCACTTTTAAGGACTTTGCAAAGTTTCATGGCTGGGTACCAGCCCTGCTCCCAGGGGACTATGGGGAGCCAGCACCCAAGATGTCCAGGTTCCACGGAAATTGGGTGCTCACCCTCAACCCTGGGAATTTCTTACCAAGTAGCATCACCAGAACCATTGCAAAAGAGAAACGGAAGACGGGAACGCAATTACAAGCAATAGCTGTTTCTTCCATAACCAGACTGGGTCATGAAACATTTTTCCATCAGGAACTGTTGACCTGAGGCATCTTAAAGGTTTTGCAGATGTGTGCATGCAGACTCCAGAGAAACCAAAGTTAGGAAAAACTACAGACATTCAGAAAGAGTCCCACCCTTTCTTTACCCTCACCATCAAAACCTCCTAGCAATGTTTTGGGGTTTTTTTGCATTTCATAAAAGCCTGAAGATTCATGTGACTTTGTCCCTTTAAAAAGTGCAAGAGAAGTTGAAACAAAGGGCCTGGTTGACCAACAAAAATTGCATTTTAAAAAAAAAAAATCAGTCTGGAAGGATTTTTTTACATTCTGTTCTAATGAGAACAAAAGCAAATTTGAAAAATAAGAAGTTGCCTGATTTGTCTGAACAGATGTGAAGGTCCTGGTGGTTCCTGGCTACTAAAAGGACCAAGGCAAAATGACAAGAGATCAATCAAAAAAAAGCAAGTGCCTTGTCCTGCACAGGCCCCATTCATATTTCTATTTAACCCCCTCCTCTGCCAGAGAACACAAATCCAAAGCCATGACCACAGCAATAAAGCCAGGAAACGGAATTGCCTCATTGGTTTTGTCCGCAGTGCAGTCTTCAAACTTTCGATTGTTTTATTTCTCTCCTCCTCATCTTCTTTTTCCAAGGCGATCAGCGATTTTCTCTGTGAAAGGAGAAAGGCAGAGGTGAGAGGGGAGGTTTCTCCACAAAGCTCGTGCCTGAGTGGTGGAAGCACCCACTGCCCCTCCACGCCGAGCCACACGGATGGAGCTGGGACCTTAAACCGACTCTGGAAGTCTAAAAGTCCAGATCCTTAATGACAATTGCCAGACTTGGAAAAAGGGACAGTCTGGAAAAACCTCCGTGGTCTGCAAGGAGATGGCCTGGACTGGGGACCGCAAGATGAATGGGCGCCTTTAGCCTGAAGATGTTCCCTGCAAGCACCCAGACAACTCGCTAGCACATGTACAATTAAACTGCGAGTGTTTGGGGCATCGCATGTCAGTGATAACCCCAACCCACATCGGTTTTGAAGCAGCGCTGCTGATGGCCTTGCATCTCCTGGCTACTTGGGCTTTGTTTCAAAGCAGCAGGACACGAACATCGGCTGGTGCTGAGTGCACCCTCTTCTGCACCCTCTTCTCCAAACTTGTTCTCACCCTTCAGCAAGCCCTGGCAAGACACTGGACTCCACCATGCCAAGATAACTGGGAGAGCTGGATAACCACCTTGAGAGGACACACTTAACGTTGTCCTGTGTGATTATTAAGTTCCAGAGTTAACACCCTGCAGGCAGGAGTGGTGTCACCCCAAACTGCTGACCTGCAACTCATCCAGACAAGCCCATGTTGGAGGATGCTTACGACTGTCCCGCTGCAACCCCCAAATCAGACTCAGAGCAGTGAGAGGGAAAAGCTGCGATTCAGGCAAGGAGCATCCCAACTCATGGGCTCTAGATGTAAATCCTGGAATATCCACTACAGCCCATGACCCTCCACGAAATACACTTTGTAAAAGGAAGAGGTAAATAAGTGCATCACACTACCCCATAAGAAAGTGTCCGTCTGAACCCTGCTCAGAGATGCTGCAGATGACATCTGGGTGACATGAATCTCGATGCATTTCCAGGGCTGGAGGGGGCTGTGAGGATGCAGGGGGCTAAGCCGATGCTAACTGGGGGTCTACAGAGGGAAGGTGCTAAACTGGGGCAGGAGAGAAGGAGCGGTCCTTTAGCCTCCCCTGGTACCCATGCATCCCTACAGGTACCCATGTGCCCTGCAGAGGAGGTGGGGGGCTCAGGGGACACCCTGCAGCCCGGAGGGGACAGGATGCTGCAGCCATGCTCACGAGGGTCAGCCAGGGTGCGTCCTGCCAATCCTGTCGCTCCCAGATCTCCCAGTGCAACCCACTAATGTGCATCAGAGCTGGGGACAGCAGCTGCGTGCACAGGATGCGTTTGACATCTCCCACAGTGGATTTTGCTACCAGGCTGGCACTGGGGGCCAGGACCCTGGCTCCCACGGCTCTAGCAGAGCTGCCTGCAGCCCCGGGCATGCATGGGGAACGGCATCGTCACCTCAAGTCATGCAACCAAGGCCACAGCTAAAGCAACACCCTGGGTGCCTCCTGCACCATCCGACAGCGCTGGGCCCTCAGAAGGTCAGGGGGAGCCCTGCCAGCACCAGCCCAGGCTAAAGCAAAGGCAGGAGAAAGGGTCCCAGCAGATACGAAGAGCTGCACTGACCCCCACATGTAACCCAGCTCCTCTTTGGCACTGTGTCAGGGAGATCAAAGCCACGCTCCAGGCATCTGGCAGCCTTTGATCACAAGCTCTGCTCAGGCTCAGGGCTTCGACTGGCCGGCAGCCCGCGGCCAGCCCTGGGCATCCCTGCCTTCCCGGAGGGAAGCACCACGCTCCTTTCCTGGCTCGCAGCCCCCTGCTCCCCCGCTCTGTCCCTGCTTCCTCACCCAGCCCCACCTTCCCTGTCACCCTAGCCCTGTGACAGCAGGGCAAACATAGGGGAAATAAAAAAAGAAAAATTATGATTTTCTTTTACATTTTCCATGCTGGTCCCATCCCTAGTGCAGTGGCCAAAAACCTCAGCACCTTCAGCCATCAAAATCAGGAGCGAGGATGGAAGGGCTCTGAACTGCGCAGCCTCGCAGGAAATAAACTGTATTTCCTACAGAAAACAGTCTGTCTCACCCAGCACGATGTTGACAGGAAAGTATTTAACAAAATTACATCTAAGCACGTCCCTCAAGTGGCATGTTTTGCCCTGGCTGCCTGGCACAGAAGGGTGTCTGAGCAGGAAGACGGTAGCAGGTATTCTCGAAAAAGCACAGGAACTATCGGCTTCAAAGCAACTGCAGCAGCTTGGTGCCCCACCAGCATTGCACAATCAAACCAGGTATTTAAAAACCAGCCTGGTGGTTTTACACCAAAAGCTGCTGTTTTCCATCCATCTAGCAGCCTCCCAGTCCAGGGCAAGATGAAATGCCCTTCCTGCCCTAGAAAATGCCTCCATTTTCCATCTGTGTCTGTTGGTCTAAGGAAGGATATCCTTAATTCCTTACACCGGGGGCTTCTGAACTGCTGGGACAAACTGCAAGCTATTGCCAACTCCAAACTGTTGAGAGGTCCGCAGACCCAAAAGGCTGAAAACCGCCAGGTCACAACTTTGCGGCTACAACACTCGTCACCCTCTCGGATGCAATGCTGGGGATAAGCAGACTGTCACTGCTGCGCTGCTGCCCCAGACGGGGTTCACAAGTGCCAAAGCGTTGGGGAAATACTTACAGCAGCCATTGAATTCAGCTGATCGATATAAAACTCTGGCCAGCTGGTGGCTCCTTTATTTTCTTCCTGGTCCTGTATGGGGGGGGGGGTGGAAAAAATGAAACAAAAAGAGCAGATTAGTAGAAAGAACATTGATGTCCCCTGCCTTTCATGACCAACCACCCCTGAAGTGCCCTTGAGCTCTTGCATTACTTTATATCAATATAAGCTCGACTTTCTACCTTCTGAGCTCACCACCGACAGCTCTAGCTATGGGAACATTACCTGATTTATTGAACTAGCATATTTTATGTACAATCTATGTTACACCATCTGCCTGTGGCCAAACTCTGCCCCAATGATACTGCATCGTGTTGTGGTTATGAGCTTCGGAGAAACCACACTGAAATTTTACATCCAGATTTCTCTTGTACTGACTCTTACAGTACCCTTGAAGTTTTGGCTGCACAGCCTTGATGAATGTGCTTTGGGAGGGAAAAAAAAAAGTCTCGTACAAGTAATGAAGAGTGGATAAATGTGACACGAACTAGGCTCCACTCTTGGAGCAGGACCATGACTTACCAACGTCCTAAGAGAGACTCCAGCCATATGTGACAACTCCTCCGGAGGCTTCTTTAGTTGTTAGGAGGGAATACACACCTGGCAATGTCCCCTGCTAAAGGATGTCACCCCATGGCCCATGATCTATGGCACTGAATGATGCAGAGCCTCATTTGGTCATCCTGGTCTACAATAACCTGCATCTGGTAGGACTCAGAAGGGGTTTTCAGGTTCTGCCATGTTCTTGTAGGACATGACTGAAGGACCTCTGAGCCCAGCTCAGATAAATTACGCTGCGTGTCCCCAGGAACTGCTTGGAGCAAGTAAGCAGATTTTGAGGGGTTACTTCAAGACCAAGCCTTTTCCCCACTGTATTTTCCTAAAAACTTATAGCAAAAGAAGAAAAAAGATTCACAGCGGAAATGCCACACAAGTTTAGGTTGTAGAGTCAACTGATACTACCCAAACCCCAGGCATCTTCCCTCACCAACCATCTTCAGTTCACAGCCCAACTTGCAGCACAGCTTTGTCCCCTCCCTAACTTTAAGAGCCGTTTGCAAAGGTCATCCTACACCACAGTCGCCTGCAACGGTGGGAGCTGGATGACCTACTCTTCTGCCCCCATGTCTGTGCACGCAGACACCTACCGATCCTCCAGCTGATTTCAGCAAGCCCAAGGAGAAGAGTCCCAAATATTTACTGCAGTTCAAGAGGCATACGTGGGAAATGTTTGTGCATCCAAACTTCCTAAGCTGCAGCTCGCCAAGACGAGAACGCACGGAATCAGCGACAGGTAATTTGGATGGGACCCAGTTTGCCCACAAGCAGCGCAGCCCGTCGCTGCAGACCTGACCCTTCACTGTGCCTGGCTCTGAGATGGGGACAAAAGAAGTTTGGGAGCAACAAGGGACCTAGCAACCCCTTGGGCATCTCCTGCGACACGCTGAGGGCCAAGAGAAGCTGCTCATCTGCCCTCATGGCCACCCCCAGCCCTCCCCGAACGGCCGTGACGCAGCCTGGCAGTAACCAGATCACCCCGAGCAGCTCTCCGCGCTCGCTGCCCATGCATGCGGTTAGGAAACGCATCCCTTGGGCGGGCTGCCCGCTGACAGACGCGCAGCCATGAGCCTCACTTTTTTTTCATTTTCTATAGATCTGGTCAAGTTTAAAGCAAATAAAATAACTTTCCTGAGCAAGACGACTACATTCAGGCCTCTCTGCCCTTCTCCTGTGACAAACCAAGGTTTTGAATGAAACACTTGATTCACCTGCCCTCCACATTTCTTTTTTTTTTTTTACCCAAGCGGGAATCAACAGAGAGCAAGAATTTTTCTGAGATGTTAGAAAAACAACAAAAAATATCTGTCCTACCCATGCTAGTGCCAAACCAAATAAACTTGAAGGAGGTTCCACCGCCTGCCTCTGCATGGATGGAGGACCACTCGTAGTCATGCTCTGACAATTAGTTTTTGCCAGCAACAAATAAAACCGTCCCCACCCTGTCCAAATAGTGCTTAAAACCAGAAATGCTCATCTGCTGGCTGCAACACCCAGCCTGATGGGGAGAGAAAGGAATGCCTTTGGTCTTCTCACAGCTGGGAAAAATGGGATGTGCTGGCTTCTCTCCACCTTCCCCTCTCCTGAAAACTTGCCTCCAGCAAAGGCAAGAGGATGGAGGTGAAGCAATCCTCTCCAAATAACCCAGGGACCATCCTGCTGCATTTCTGGCCACGTCTGGGACCACGTGCAGGGACTGTCACCTCCCAGCATCGACTCTGGCCACCCGAAGCCATGGCCAGGGGGAGGTTTCCGCTGCAGTGGGGGAAACCCAATCCCTTCCCAAAGGGCTGGGAAGAGGACACCCATTTGCAGCTATCTGGTCGGTCAGAGCTTCCCACCGCTGGATTGTGCGGAGAAAGGAATCCCGGCAGCCGGCGTGTCCACTCACACACAGCCTGCCGAAAGACATCCAGGTTGTTGGAAAGATGCTCAAGAGCACAGAGAAAGTGTCAGGGGGCTCGAGAAACAGGAATGTAATTTGTATTTATGAGCAGAATGGAAAGGCACAAATTACACCACCACTCCCTGCAGAGGCGGAGGAAGGTCTTCTGCTTCTCCTGAGCGGAATGGGAAAAGTAAACCATCATATTATGCAAAGTATTTGTCGCCTCAGGGAAACACACATCATTTCTGCAACCTGTGGGTCAGAGTCGTCAGTTTAACCCGGGGGGGAACAGCAGCCCCCAGGAGCAAGGTGGGAGCAGGATACGGGGCAACCGCCCGTGGCCAACCACCATGGGGATGCGGGGATGTGAGCTCAGGCTGCACCTGATGGCAGGTTCAATCAGCAGAGCATCGTTTGCGTTATTTTCCTGCAACCAAAGGGCTACTTCTTGGTGCTAGGCAATCCAGTGCCACCCACCCGTCCTGCTGGGTGACCCCATGGTTCCTCCGTGGTGCCAAGCAGCCAGGGGGGAGGCTCAGGCCACCTTCCTGCTCCGTGATGATCCCATTTGACACAGGCAGCCAGGTCTTTCTGGTTTCTCAGTTCACATCACGTGCCTTTCTAAAGGACACTCCTGTCTGCTCCTGTGTGCAAAAGCGCATCCCTCCCTGGTACACCCAGCCATACACAGCACGCCGTCTATACGCACCAGGAACAGGAGAGAGCACGTACACGTGGTGATGGCACTGAAGAAGGAGGGAGGGATACTGGGGACGTCTGCCAGCCCACCCCTCTGAGCCATCCTATGCTCTGCCACAGGAAGGCTCTGCACAGCCTGCAGGCACAGACTGTGATCTTCCCAGCTTTCCTGCCCTGCTTTAGAAGCTGGAACACAAATGGGGCCGGGGCATCCACGTGTGCCTTGAACATGGCCCAAAAAGGGACCGGCTCCTGTCACTCATCTCCTGGAGATGTGACTGGAGGTTCTCCCAATCACCCTACGGTACCATCAGCACCTCTTATGAGGAGCATCCCTCTCCCACCAGTGCTCCCAGCAGTGACACCAGCTGGGAAGGGTGGTGTGGTCTCCACCACTGCACAGCACCAAGAGGTGTCCAGATGCACCCAGCCAGGACATTTGGGCAAGGAGCGAGACCCATGCCGAAGAACAGGGTGGGAATGCAGCGAGGTCAGCTTATCCCACATCCCAGGGCCTTTCTGCACGGTGCAAACACCTGCAAGGCAGGCAGGGATCCGGACCTGCTGCTCATTTAAGGCTGAAAGGAAGTGGTGGAGCAAAAAAATAAAGGTCTCCGGGGGATGGAGGGGAGGCTGAACAACAAAACTGGCTAAACTGCTCATTTATAATTAATGTGCTGCATTATAAATATTTCCCTTTGCTCAGCTCCCTCGGGCTCTTGCATTTCCTCTCTGAAACCCCCAATTTAGAGAGAGCTCTCAATTAAGTGCAGCAGAACCTCATTTATTCAGATGAGCAGCCAGGCGGCCTCATCAGAAAGCAGTTTCCCAGGCAGAGGGGGACTGCACAATAAAGCAGGCAAAGATCAGGGCACGGGCTTCCCTCGGCTCCCTGCAGGACATTGCTCAGCGGTAATTATTGCAGCTAATGGTCTACAGCACACTGATAAGTGTCCTTTAGTGAGTTTGGTGGTGGTAAAGAAATCTCCCAACAAAGCAAGGAGCCCAGAGGGAAGTGACTCACAAGGCTTCGCTCAGAGGCAGGAGGAGGGAGGAACCTCTCTGGGCACCATGGATTGAAAGGGTGAATTTGTAAGATGGTTTCCCAGCACCCAGGGTGGGTTTTGGGGATGTGAGTTTTGCAGCCTGCCTTGGATGAGGGATGTCCAGACACAGACTGAGTACCACTGCTGTCAGCTCTCCCGGATGCTCCATCGCATCCCGCCCGGCTGGCACCAGGGACACAAACTTCTCCCAACTTCTCCTTCTCTGGGCTGTGTTTAGGTCTTTGCTGTGTTCACTCTCTTCTCAAGAAGCACAGAAGCGAGGGCTGATCTGAACCCCGCTGACTGCCCAGCGCCGTGCTGCAGCTTACTACGAGCTGCTCTTTTAGAGGCAGGCTGATGGCTGTGATTGCACAGTGCAGGGATGGGTATCCCTTCTCATCTGTAACATTCGCATCAACATCCCTCGCTGTGTCTGGGAAACAGCCCTGATGTGTCACCACACACGTGCTCTGCTGCAAAAATTAGTAAACACCAAAGCCACACAGCCAAGGGCAATCTTTGTGTCATCCCCTGCTTTGTTCCCACCTGCTCCCCCCAACACCCGCTACTTTCTTCCAGGGATCTGACAAAAATACAAATCACATCAGCTGTGGCCCCAGCACCGCTGCGCCCTCTCCTCGCCTCCGCTGCCCCTTCGCCCCCGGGCTCCATGCACGGGGCTGACGGATTCTGCCGCTCGGCTGTTTTGTGCTGCAGTGACAGTGGTGGGGGGGTGTCGTGGTGTGAACCCAGCGAACAAGCTCCATCCCCTCCATCAGTGCCAGGTGCTAGTCAAAATGCCTCATCTGCTTTTCCAAACGAAGGTCACTGATCTGCCAGCT